GGGGGGGGGCCTACTAGTATTACTACTAGTACTAGTACTAGTACTAGTACTAGTACTAGTACTACTACTACTACTACTACTACTACTCCTGACAATACTTGAACTATTGTGTGCAGGCTCCAGGTTCATGCAGGGTTCGACATCGCACCTTGAAGCCGGGGTCCGAGGGGAATGCGTGAGACCTTAAACCTCCGAAAATTCCGACTGCAAGAATGCCCTTGCGACTTCTTGACAGCATACGACAGATCAACATGTCGAGGCCTACCACCACTGATAGCAAGGACGTTTAGTACTGAAAGCAACACAGACCAATGACAGGATTGTAGGTAAGCTTACAGTAAACGATCTCAACAGGATACTTCCGTCTGGCTGGCGGCCATGGGCTTCTAAAGAGTTTGTCAAGATGCTGGAGAAGCCCATCGGCAGCACTCAAGCGACCCATGGCCAACGGCATTTAGGGCCACAACTTTGGGCCCATGGGGATGTTGGGTCGGTTGGGGCTCGTTGGTCTAGAGTCTAAAGGGCACAGCTCGGCACCGCGCTGGTGCCTCGTTGGTTTTGGGGTTGATGTGGGAAGCTTGTTGAGTCAGTCTACAGCCTAGCATACCCGTTCTTCAGCATATGTCTTGGGCAGAATACGGTTTGCAATCGCAGTCAGAATGTGGCGATAGTGCGTCTAAGGTGTCAAGCCCAGAGCATGCTCTACCAAACCGGCTGTCCGATCAGTGGAAATGGCTCCCGACCCGATTCCTTCATAGCAAACCCTCAAGGCGAGCATCTCGGTTCCTCACTGAGAGAGCGCGGGGGTACACAGGGCGCCTTAAGCCCAAAAATGCTTGCAAGCCCTGGAAGTTGCAGAGAGCCTCCACGCGTCCGGGGCTCTCAACACCCCGCGTGAGGATGCTGACAATGCTACCAGGACCTGAGAAACGAGCACTCTCCAGATGCTTTGGATAGAGTGCTTCTGTTGGGATTGGCCTCCTGACCTTCGGGGAGTGACCTTCAGCCAGAAGCGAACTTGGGCAGATGAAGAACCGAAGAACCTGCAACACTGAAGTACCAGGCGTCGGAGGAGGTCGCTAAAGCCAAGCCACGCAACTCTCCAAGCAAATCGCTCTCCACCTGGGACGGCTTACGGCTTGCAAGAGCTCTCCTTCCCGTGGAACTCTCGGGAGACATCATGTTGATATGCTACGCACGACACACATTCGCACATGTCACACAGACGCTAGCCTACCCTACCCTGCCTACCCTACTCCATTACCATTGCCATACATTACATTACATTACATTACATTACATTACATTGCATCACGCTAGATTACATCACATTAGACTACAATACTAGATTTACATTACACTACATTACTTAAATTTCAGTACGACAGCACTACGCTAGTTCACTGCTACATGACTACATCCATCCATCCATCCATCCATTAATCCATCGATCCATCCATCCATCCATCCAGCATACACATCATATGCTCCTGCATAGCTGCACACAAATTATACAGGCCGGAAGGTTGGCAAGGAGGCATGACGCCATCTCATGTCGACATCTCGGGCTCCGGCATTCTCCTCACGACGAATCAGAGCGGACGGCAGGGAATGCACCTAGGATGGGGCACGAGGTTCGCCTGCAAATGCAGACTGACTCTCGCATTACGGCAACCGACACGGGAAGGACCGCAGCGAGCAAGTTCTTGACCGAATCCTACACGTCGCATGCTACGATAAGCTAAACAGGCACCTTAAGGTACTGCTGGGCCCAGCATTGGCGATCGACAAGACCTGCCGATAACCACCACATGGATCACAGCACCAACTGTATCACCACAGAAGATGGAAACGCTTGGAGAGTAGGCATCAACGATGACGTCTCGGAGTTCCTCTTCTATGGATATGGACAAGGTAGTCTGAAAAGTCTGAAATATGGTAGGCAATCTGCTCCTGGCATAAGACTGAAGGTATGTAGATGTGCAGTGAGCGATTGGTTCTTCAAACATTTAAGCCTGATCTGGCTGGACCAAACCAATCAAACCAGGAGGAGCACACTTGCAGCAGAGATGCGATGTACTGCTTCCCCACGGCAGGATATGGAACCTCGGACTACCGCCGGTTTGGTCTTGCTCGAAGGCACAACGTAGCCTGCGGCCCTTGCACCTACATTTCGGTTGTAACAAGCCTGGTAACGAGTACGGTAGCGAGGGCGACAGGTGATGCTGCTTCACTCGGAGAGCACTTGGCCTGCACACTGATACTCGCACTATTCCCGGCCCAAGCTGCCGGATCCAAGACTTCCGCCGTGAAAGCTTCACACACCTGCATGTTCTAGGATCAAGCATCGCGTGCATTGCTGTCTGCTGAGCCGGTTTGCACCACTCTGGTGTCCCCATCAGACTACGACTAGTCATGCGACATCAGCGGCGACGAAGACTATCAATGAACTGCTGTTTGAACAAGACGGGCGATGTCCGTTCTGTGCCTTTCCCATGTGTGCTACGAGTAGCTCGAAGGCGAAGGCTACGATCAAGCATTGCTCCTGCTCTGCTTGCCTTCTCGGTGCTGCACTGAGCATTCTACAGCCTTCTGCAGGGACGCCCGGCTCATCAACTTCTCAGCACCCACCAAGACAATAAGACACATTTACACCACCAGCCGCCATCATCATCATCAGGGTCATCCGGACCAGCAGCTACAATAACCACAACGACTGTGATGGCCGCTGTTCTTGCTTATGCCTATGACCAGGTACATTATTGCTACCGCGGTTTCTGGGAATCGGTTTTGATCTATTCCTGCTGTTTCATTCCGATCCCCAGACTATGAGGGTCCTTTAACTTATGGTCTGAAACTCCCAAATAGTATCTCTGCAAGTCGAAACATCGGCCCTAATGCCTGAACTCAAGAAAGAACTACGGCCGTAAAATCCTGAGACCCTGATTCCGAATTCCTAAAACCTCCCAAGCCCAAACCCTAAAACCCCCTAGCCCCCAAACCTCGAAGGCTCTCTCCGGAGGGCACCCCATGCCCAAAGCCTGCCGCGACAGCTTTCGGGAGTAGGCTAAAGAGGGCCAAGGACCGGGTCTATGGTTAAGGTTCAGGACTTGCGGCGGTAGGCTTTGGGGCTAAGGGTTTAGGACTTACGACGTATGGTTTTGGGATTGGGATTTAGGGGTTTTTAGGGTCTAGAATTAAGGGTTAAAGACATATTAACACTATGCCAGGTCTTCAGGTGCACAGCAGACAGAAAGAAGGACAATTGGTTTACAGACTCTCTGTTGGGCGAGTCTGGAAGCGGTGAATCCCAAACCCTGAACCTGTACTTTCGTACGAGCCTTAGACTTAACTCGATGAAACCCAAACCCCGAACGCTGAAAACCTTCAGTCCACCGTCTCGCCGCCCACCTCCCGAAGGAGCCGCGCTGCCTTCGCCGGTGCGGGCAGGTTGGCTCTTAGCTTGGGGTTGGAGGCTTGATGAGCCTTGATCAGCATAGCTACTGATGGAGACTGTCGTTCCGAAGTATTGATACTGTACTTGTGTTATGACGATCATGACTGCTGTTGAGAACTGAGTTGGTCTCTGCTCGGAGTCCCCTGATTTTGAGCGACTCTGCAACATGATCCATTGTCAGCGACGAGTATTGATTTTCAAGCCCTGGGACTGAATTTCAAGCTCAGTTACGAGGGATACGGAACAGCAGGGCTTCAGTTTCGTTTAATTCGAAAAGTTCACGATGCATGAGCAGCATCGCCGAATCACAGTGCATGACTCTCTCGCTGTGCCTATGTCCGCCCGCCCATGTTGTCTAGCTAGCCCTTGATACTTAGACGTCCGTGCACTATCCTGCGGGAGGCCCTTCAGTTGAGATCGGAATCTCAAGAACTGATGGCGTCAAGGTAGGTAGGAGCTTTACTCATGGTCAGTCTTGGGTTTTGTGGTGGATTCGGTTGTAGGTCGGTACAATAAGGCACCCCAGAGAATGTGATTACCAATCCTTCAAGCTTCTACTTCTACTGGTATGTTACAAGGATGCATCAGAACAACGCTGGTGGGTAGATCTTCGTCTTGCCCAAACAGCCCCCAGAGCCCTGGAACCATTGAGCCCTGTACCCTGAGACTCCGACTCAACGCCGAAACCCTGAAACCCCGAAACCTTGGGCCATGAACCCACAAACCCTGAAACTCGAAACCCCTGAACCCGGAAGCCTTCATCCTTGACCTCCGTAAACCTTTTAACCCGAGAAACCGAGACCTGCAACTCTGAAATCCACAAACCCTGAAACCTTTCAGAACCTGGTAACAGTGAAACCTAAGCCCAATAACGTAATCCTGCACCCTACACCCGAAACCTCGTGAAAACATGAAACCCGAACCCTGAAATCATTGTTCAGTAAACCCTGACCCCATAAAACCTGAAACCTGAAATCCGGAAACCCAAAACCTTGAACCCCGAAACCCTCAAGCCTTAAACCCTAAAACCCCATACCCTCAAGTCCCAAAAACATCAAACCCGAATGGCGTGCAAACCCTGAAACCCTGCCAATCCAGGAACCCGCACATAAAAACCCTGGAAGCCCAAACCATGAGAGCCTAAACCGAAACCACCAAACCCGAAAACGAAGGGCTAAACCCGAAAAATGTAGAACCAGGATACCCGAAACACCAAGAATTCAATCCCCACGCCTTGAACTTGAAAGCCCGAAAAACCTAAACCTACCCCTCAACCCTAAAACCTAAACCCTGACGACCTTTTCTTGACTTTTATTGCTTCCCGTTAGCAAGGGCCCAGCCTGACCCACCTCTTGCAGCACATCTTCACCCGGCAGGCTGCAAGGACTCGGTGGCAGGCTGAAGACTGAAAATATATACTATAGAATATAGTCATAAGTCATAGTATGGTAAAGACTAAAACCATACATACATACATACATACATACATCCATGCATGCATACATACATACATACATATATGTAGATTATCTTATGTAAATCGCGCATATCTTGCACCTGGTACATTTCATAATATTATCTATTGCATATGTCTACTGCATCTTGCCGACAACTGCTTATGTATTACATATTGCATTTTCGTATTTCATGTGTTGTAATATGTGTATCTATATATATAACCATATGTCAGCATGCATCACATATTCTATGAATATGTGTATATACTATCATACATCATGTATTTTACTTGTTCTTATAGGATACAAGGTATATACTGTATACTGCCTGGTATAAGATAAATATGATATTACATATGTATATATATATATGAATATATATATATATGCATGCATATGTGTATGTATACATAGATAATGAAATATGCACTGCAAAATATCCTCGCAGGCTTTCGTTGATTCAAGTTTAAGCAGTGTAGGGTCTTACGAATGCAAGGTGTTTAGGGGTTCAGTACATTTAGCGTTTCAGGGTAAACGGGTTCAGGGTTTGGCGGCTAGATGGTCTGATTGTGCAGGCAGCGCCCAGGCGAGTGGCGCACATGGCAGCAACAACAACAACAACCACCAACCACCAACCACCAGCCACCAACCAAAACAAGCAACAAGCAACGAGCCACAAGCAACAAGCAACAACAACAACAACAACCACAACCACAACCACAACCACAACCACAACCACAACCACAACCACACCACAACCACAACCACCGCCACCACGACGACGACGACAATGACAACGACAACACTACGCAGTCGTATATATAGTCTAGGTTTGTACTCCTTCATGCTAGACTCTTGGACTCAGGCTCTGCATGTGCGCATGAGGCTCTGGCCACCCATACTGCTCTACTACTGAGACTACTACTGTATCATTCGCAATGAACCTTCACATGAGGATTGCCATCTCTGCGAGGCCTGGCAGACGAGCAACGACAAAGACTCAGGCTTCTGCCTGTGTGAAGCCACAAGATGGTCCAGCACCATGACCTCTGCTAAGAACGGGCAGAAACCTGAACCAACACACCAGCCCAGCCCTGCGGACTGCGAAAGATGGCAGCTATCAGCTATAGTCTGGAGGCGAAGCATCACCAGAGCTGGCCGGAAAAAACTGGGAGCGGACATCGCCCTCACCGACTTCGCTGTGCCACCTGAGCCACGAGAGACACACAGACTCACACAGAGTCCAACATGGAACGAGGCGAAACTGAGGAAATCCTCTGCCACTCGCAGGCTCGGAGTTGCCGCTACACTAAATCTGACTTTTTGCCAGATAAAGTTGCCAAAGCCCCGTGCCACCAAGCAAATGGATCGCCACCAGCTTCCTTGCATCTTCTCAGAAAGTCTAGAGTCCAGAGGTTGGGGTAAGGTTTACAGGTTAGCTGTACCTGTGGCAGCAGGCAGCAGGCAGGCCGCTTTTTGCGTTCGAGAGGGCTGGAGGCAGAGCAGCGTAGAGGCTGCGTTCGAATTTCCAGTTTGGGCGGAAGGGCAAGCTTTAAGCAAATTCTTACATGACAATGAAAAATATGTCCCGTTGGTTATGCGCTGCCGGTCGCATCGACTTGTTCGTGCAATGCCAAGTTATCGTGCATGCCAGCGTGCATGCGCACCCGTGCATGTAGGAGTGCGCTTGCGCAGTGTGGGTGTGGCCTTGGGTATCACTACAAAGAAGGCACTACCCTGTCCTTCCGCCCCAGTTAACGCATTATTGGCTGGATTTGTTGAAAAAGCTATTGCCTTGCAAACCCCTCCACACAGGTCCAGAGATTTCACAACACCGGCAGATTAAATCATCATGGCCTGTCTGTGATGAGGTTCTGCAATGCCTAGTTTTGAATCTCTCTCCCTCGAGCGTTCTGCTGAAAACTCTCGGACAGCTCGGCGATCCCTTCTTTGGTGCAGATGCAGTTACCACGTCCCGTCACCAGAGCATATCGAGAAGCGAGGTTCCCCAACAACCTAGACCCAAAACCCCAGAAGCCCTAAACCCAGAAACCCTAAACCCCTAAGCCCAGAAACCCTGAACGCAGAAACTCGTAACCTTAAGCCCCTAAACCCTAAACCCCTAAACCCCTAAATCCCGAAGCCCGCAGTCCCCTTAGCCCGAAAACGCTAAACCCAGAAACCTAAAACCCCTAAGCCCAGAAACCCAGAACCCCTGAAGCCCTAACCCCCAAAGCCCGCAACCCAGAAACCTTGAACCCCGATAATCTTTAAACCTTGAAAACAGAAGCCCTAAACCCCTTAACCCAGAAAACCCAAACCCAGAAACCCCTAATATCAACTCCTTACAACCCCTAAACCCAAGACACGATATCTTGCCCAACCCTAGAAAATGAAAGCAAAAATAATGTAAGTATAACAGCATTAGTGGGGCGGTCAGGCATCAATCAGGTGGAAAAATCTAGATGTGTTGTGTGACACTACTGTATGCCTTTCCTCATCGTGCCATGCTCTGCTGCGCTGCTGTGCTGTGCCATGCTTAGCTCTTATGCTGCGATGTCCCTCCACCGCGACTTAGACTCTGAGCTAAACCCTAAACCCTAAACTCCAAGCAAAACCAAATCCAAATCAAAGCGCCAATGTGCCGTGAGCCGAAAACCTCAGCACAAGCTGCGCGGCCTCCTGCTGCTTTGGCTGAACTGCCAGAGGCTGCACGGGCACCCGTGCAATAAGAACAACCTGCCGGGAGAACCACCAGAAGACTGGCAACAACACAAGTGCAGGACAAAGACAACATCGACAAAACATACTGGGAATCGTGATAAACAGCAAGACACGCGAAATTTTGGACGCACAAACCAGAAACGGGGGCTGTGGTTCCATGCAACACGTTTAGTGACAGAGTTTGCGTTCTCTGTGCGCCCATCAGTCTACAATGAACGACAGCCGAATCCGTCGTTCATCACACTGCATCTTCCAGGCGCACTTGCAGGGATTGGGAAAATTGTTGTTATTTTGTCCTTACGTCGACGCCACACAATGCCTGAACAGACGGCTTTGCATGAAAAAGTCATTGGCACTATGTTGTATTGGATGTTGGTTGTTGGTCGCTGTGGTAGTACTTTATTGGCGACTGTAGCTTTTAGCTGTTGGCGGTGGTTGTTTGTTTGTTTACATGTCGTCGGTTGTGTGGGCATGTTATCTTGGTTCTGGCATAAACAGAGGCAAGGAGCAGCAAAAGCAATATAAACTGCAGACCTCAGCGCACCATCCTACATGTCGCATTTCACCTCAGATCGGGCGCTCGGCAACTCCGACCAGTCCTACCACTGCGCGGTTGGAAAGGTCGGAGTCTCCTAACATTAAATATCACAAGCCTTGTGCTTGGATCTAGCTAAAGACTTCGCTGGCCACGGCTGTGTGGAAGCGAGATCTACGGGCGCAGCCTGCTGATCTGCAGGGTCTACTGCACTTTCCCTGCTGTTGCAGTGCGCCAGAAGCCCCCAGATCATCGCTGCACCTTCTCCGACTCCTGAAGATCCGACGTCCTGCTCTCTGCAAGATGCACGGCACAAAGTCTTGAATCAACATGTAAGGAGGTATATAGCTCTTTACTGTTACTTCTGCACCTCCAACCCCAGTCCCCAACCATGCAAACACACAGGGACTACAACAGCCCGGAAAAGCAAAGCGCACAACTTACGGTCGGAGTTTGAAGAATCGCATCCTTGGGGTTGTGAGATGTCTGCCTGTCTCCGACGCCATGCTGTCACCATCAACCGTTGATGCATTCCAGCAGTGTACCGACACCCGAACAGAGGAATGAACATTCAGACTGCGCGAGTTCGCCACAAGTCACCTGAACGCATTTGCCTTTTTGCATTGCACGACTCTGCTGGATGCAACTTACTGCTCATGCAACCACACTGAACACAGACCGCTGACCATCTGCAACTGTGAATCCGGGACCCACACTTGACACAGTCGAAAGCGCCCATGCGCTCTGAGAATTAGGCTCTATATATCCTCGTCACGGAGCTGCTTCTTCGGCACCCTTCAAGTCCTTTGATCACGGAGACATGGGGAAGACCGCGCTGCAGTATGAGCTCCAGCAGTCTTTTGTCTAGAGCCGTCAAGCCTGCGAAGAACACCCCACAAACCGTTTACACAGCCAAGGCACAGATGCGAGAACCAAGCCATGCTGCAAATGCTCGTAGACCTACAAACGGAAAGGACTTCGGCTCCTACGTCCTCAAAGATTCTCAAAGTGATGTGCAACCTCTGGGCCGTAAAACAGCTCTAGCAAGTGCGGTGCATCGCATTTTGAACTTACATGGGAGTCGACTGATTGACTGTGGGAGGTTGAGAACCCGAATCATCCACCTGTGCTGAGAGAACACAGACTTCTCAGCCCCACTAGAAGATTCTGGCGTGCTGCTTTGTGGGAAGGAATGGCACCACGATGAAATGATATCTAATCTATCTGGTACACACCAACGAAAGGACCCGACATATGTGTTGAAGCTTCCCCGCTCATTGCTGCCTCGGAAGGGATCAACAGCGGGTCTGGTCACTTCTTGGCGTTTTGCTGCCACCTTGCAGGTGAAATCTTGGGAATTAGCTTGCCGAAGTCTGAAATCTGCGTTGAAGGATCAGGGTGCTGGCAAGATGTTTCATGTGCGGGCACAGCCATGATCTGTGAGAGCCATTTGGTAGCGACTGTTCTTGAACTCTACTGGGGAGTGCCTTTTCCGGGCTGGTCGAAGCTGGTGTTCCAATGAATGACCAGTCAATACCCTTTCCACCCACCTTTGTTTACAAAGATCTAGATGGGCGTCTAAGATTGTCCTTGCGCTCATGCGCCGGTCCCTGTGCATTCTTGGAAGTTCTTCGAGCTTTTTTGAATAGCGGCAATTGAATATAATTCACATCTGTAGCAATGAGAGCAGGGGGGGTTCACAACAACCCGCAGTTCCATATGCTGTAAGGAGCAAATGCAGGGCTTCAAATCCTGTGCTGTCTCGATCCTGACAGTGATGAAGCTGAGACCCTTCTAAATGCCAAATTGCCCACCCAGAGCCGCCTCGTAACGAGTTCTATAACGGCCTCACGGATGAACTTCCAGTTTCGAGGCGGCCTCCACCGCGAGCGGCCGTCAGAAAGTAGGTCACGCAACAACCATGCAAATGATCCGAGTACCAGCGGCACGTGCGAGCGGGGAAACATGAAACGAACAAACGAGTGGCAGCTTACGCAGAGAGGCATGCATGCAAGCATGCATGCAGATATGTCCATCTCGTCCTACGAGAGAACAAAAGCGCGCCGTAAGCCCTGCAAATTTCGAACAGAAGTCAAGCGACTGCATCGCGGAACCCACCGACTTGAAGGATTTTGTCAAGTCTTGAAAGCCCGGTGCTCTGGATCTAAGGCGAAGCAGCATCCTGTCTCCTATAAAAACCCACCCCTCCTCCCCCCAGCCCCCCCACCGCACCTTCCAGTTCCATCGGGGTTCAGAAGATCTCTGGGCAGGCAGGAGAACTCCGAGCCTTCCTTTGCCAGAGACGTCAAGGTGGGCAAATCGGGCAAACTTGCACGAAAGCCAAGCTTTCGTCTGCTGTCTCTCTGCTTGCAGCTGTGCTGCCGGAGAAATCAAGCATTTGAAGAGCAGGGTCATCCTCTTCTCAGAGAAGACGATGTCCTGCGATGAGGCTCTGCAAGCATAAGGATTCGGATCCCCGAACTGGCATGGATGTCCTTTTGCTGCTGCTTCACCGCGTTGTAGGACCTGTCCATGCTGTCCTTCATCCACTGTCGGACAAAGGCCTGCGCTGATCGGGTGTGGCTTCGCTATTCCTGCTAGCATGGAAAAGCTGCTCCGAGTTTCCTCAGGTGCGAATTTCTATGCAAAGGACGTTTCAGATTCAGTCCAACACCAACGCTTAACCTTGCTCGCAATGAGGGTTCTCCTCTCGGCATCTCCTCTAACAACGTTTTGCCACAGCGTGCAAATGAAAGACCCTGCCTTTACTTGCACGAAGGCTGTTTCGAGCTTTGGCTCTTTCACAGTAGCCCGTCGGAAAGGAGGAGATCAGGGAAAGGGACAGGAACCCAATCAAGCCATGCACAATTCACAAAGCGCTGTATCGCAAAGCCCTGAACCCCAAGTGCCTCGATCTTCTTCAGTCGGTGGCCCGTTGCTGCTTTCACAGCCTCACAGGCGCCTTGAACGAGGGTCCGGCGGCTGTGTGTTAGGGTTGGGTTGTGTGTATGCTGCACTTGCAAAACATATACCAGATTCAGAGATCGCGCAGAGACCGGACTGCAGGGTGTTGGGCTGCTTTGGCAGCAGTACAGGTCTCAGCACCGTGCAGACGTTCCATTGCTACCAAGTAGTACTCTGCAATTCTGCTGGTCAGTACAACAGCACATGCTAGCAATATTGTTGTTTGTATGATGGCGTCGGTGACGATGCTTATGGCCGTTGGTATGTCAATCAGGATGATCACGGGTTGACTATGTGGTGCATCCCTTGATCTACATTTACGATCACAAGCAAACTTACTTCAGCAGGTACCCTGAACACCTTGCAGCAGGTTAGACTGCCATTGAGCCGGATCACCTGGATGCATCTTCTGCAGCGAGGTGATCCTCGGATTCTTCACGCACAAAGGTTTGTGCGAGTTTGCCTATGTTCATGGCGATACTCAAGGGATATTGCCCGCTGACATCGAGAACCACACGACAACAAGCCACGAAGATGAATTTCGGGTGGAGCTTTGAGACTCTATTGCTCAGTGCTGGATTCGGTGTACGACGACAAGGAATGCTACATGTTCACCGTCGAGAACGCACGACTTAAGTACTTTCAGTTGACTTCTCTCAAAAGGTAGAGTATGGGTAGCATGAACTTCTCGCAAGATGTTAGGGCAAGTGACACCTTCTTCCGCACATCGTCCTCTAGCTCGTTGAAGGATTCGGCCACAGCATTGTGCACTGTGTCCTGTTCTGGCAATGCAACTGGCTGAGGCGTTCGCCACCGATCCCACAACTAAGCACTGGAAATCTTCAATGGTGAGCATGTGGAGGAGAGAATGCTTCTTGCGCAAGTATGCACTACCGACAAGATTGTAGCTTTGGAGGCAGGTGGTCTCCTGCAGGCCTACGCGCAGAGTGACGTCATGGAGTAGAGGGGTGTCACGGAAGCTTGGTGACGGAGTTGTGTCTTTCCACAACTTCCACGGCCCAAACATCACTCTGGTCCTGGAAGTTCCGCTGCTCAGCATATCGGACAAACTCCTGCAACGCAGTAGTTGAGAAAAGGGCGGGCCCCCTTTCTGCAGGTGTGGCTAGTCTTCGAAACGCCAGTTGTGCAGCAAACAAGGACAACGGGGGTTCGGTGGGGGACCGCGGGGTCACTGTCTCCTCTTCGATCATGTTCTGCACCACCTCCTTGGATCCAGGCCCAGCACCAGGGCAGTCCTCGAAAGAGGTTGGACATGTTCTTTAAAAGCAAGTCGGCCTGAGCATGGGCGGGATTTCAAGGAGGTGGCAAAGTTGAACTTCAAAGAGGCTTCGTTCAGTTTGGCTCTGGCACTTTCTTGTGGCGACACTGGATGATCAAGGACTTCGTGAATTGGCTTATTGCTCATGCAGGCCAAGTTGTCCTGGATCAGCTCCCACGCGACCATCTCGAGCACCGGCTTGATTCTTTCCTCCTGAAGAGACCATGTTTCTCACTCGCTTGCATACATCGCTCGCAAGGCTTGAGGCTGTAGGTCTTGGTTGTTGATCTCCAGCCGTCGCAAGCCTCCGAAATGCAGAACACTTTCAGACTTCCGAATCAGTGCTCATCACAACACATGGCACTCCATCATCGGATCCCTGAAGGTACCTGACTGACACTCCGAAATCTTATGAGACTGCTACGCAGGGCGGAGAGGTGCGGAAATCCCACGGACTCTCCAAAGCGCGCGCTGGGCCGAGCGGCGGCTTCAGGATACCAAGGCTTCCCAGAGCAGGGCCAGTAGAACTGCGTTGAAGACTCCTTCAGAAACCTGGGACTGGATGACATAATCGTACTGTAGTGACTGTAGTGCTTCACCATGGTTCGATGACGCTGGATGGTGGCAAAACGCTTGGAACACTGAGGAACTGCCTCAGTGCTCGGGGTTTAAGATTTAGGGGCACTGCGCACAACAGCGTGCACGATTCGCATGGCTGCGACATGGCAAGCACCAAGACGAAAGCCTTGCAGAACTTAAAATTAAAATCTTAGCTGCTGTGCATCCACTGTCGAACACAGCGTCTGTGCTCAGCCCCACACACACACACACCCACACACACACACACGCACGCACTCTCAACCGTGTTTGTCAAAAACAAATGTAAAATCTCAAGAATCAGAGCCCTCATATCAACGTCGCACCAAATCAGAGTCTACCAGGTCCGTCACCAATCCCGACGCTCAAAACAACGCAAAAGCTTTATGTGGTAGGGTCTTTGGGCCAAGGGACATTGGCACATAAGTCCTCAAGGGCTTCTGAATGCCGAGCTTACGGGATCCTCGATGCAGACCCCGAGCATGCTGTACTCGTAGTTGTTGGCAGCCCTCTTGGAACAGGACTCTGTGTCTTCTGTGCAAGGTCCTGCCGAGATCTGCCGAGTGGCATCTGGGCGGCCTCCTTCCAGCTCTCGAGAGACCTAGCGTGGACGTTCAAATTTGGTGTTGTTGTTGATGGCGATGGTGAGGGGGGCGACCACAAACACAACGAGGGCGGAAACCGGCCATACTGCAAAGACAAAGACTTGATTGCACCTGATGACCGCAATGTGCGAAGAACCTCTGCAGGCCCGAAGCTGCACTGCCGCCTCCAGACCTCCCTTCAAGAATTGAGTCGAGGCATGTCAAGGTCTTAGTGCAAAGTGAGCCGCGCCGACTTCTTCTCCAGCTTCTCCAGTCCGTGACTAAGGTAGCGCATGAGGCGACGCTTCAGCTCGGCCGGTGACCAGTGGGTCTGAGCGCGGAGCAGTTTGGTTAACACGGGGCTCGAGTTTCTCTTCTGAGACTTCTGGGCTCCAGCCTCAGAAAAGCTGTCCAATCAAGGATCATATAGTATACTATAATATACTACAATATATTATAACATACTATAATATACTACAATATACTATAATGTAATCCTCTTTGTTTCTGACAGCTCTCGACGTCCCTTCAGCTCTTGGTCCGACGGCCCTGCCTCGAGGTCCTGCGCCACCAACGACACCTCCGAAATGTACACAAGGTGAGTGATGGTTTAGGGTTTAGGGTTTAGGGGGGTTTAGGGTTTAGGGATTTGGGGCCTGATGGTGACTGTGTGGACGCGTAGAGGCCTGTAACTATAGCTCTCGGGCAATGGAAATGCTGCGTTTCACGCAAAATAATCAGGAATAAATGAGGAAAACTAGGACAAACATAGGAAGACAATAGGAAACAAATAGAGAAGCCATGCGAATCTAAAATCATTTTTCCATAAGTTTCCTATGTGTATCGTATTTTTGGTGTAAAAGTTGTTCTTGGCTCCAATGCTTTTCCTATAAGTTCCTTGTGTTTGCCTTATTTGTTCCCCATGTTTTCCTATTTTTTCGTGCTTTCCGATTCGCTGGACCTATTTCCATTTCGTATCTATTTCGTATTTCAATCGTATCTGTTTAACAAATAAAACCAGGTGTAGAGCCTATCCACATGCTTCGCCGTTAGAAGCAACTAACAACTCGAGTCGGTTTTGAAAACCCGATGCAGAAAGATCCATGACAAGCTCCAGAGCCATGATACTGATGGAGCATTCTGATCATGCAGAGCGGCTACACCGCTACCTGTAGGTCCAACACGGCTTGACAGATGGGGCCCAGCTGCCATCGAACCCCGAAGCCACCCGCAAGGTTTTGGGTGTGGGGTTTCGGAACCCAAGCTGGGCAGACGTACCCGACTTTCTTGCACACAGAGCTAGGAACAACATCAAAGCCCACATGCACCACACAGACACACGCGAACACGCTCGCGCAATTGCACAAACTTATCGCTGCAAAGATCGGTTACCCAAGAACTGCTCTCAGCACAATTCCAAACCCGACGGATCCTAAGACCTCCGCGGCAGGACTCCCCATGCCTCATCCTGCAATGCCTGCCGTGCCGAAGACACGGCCAAGGGCAGCCGCCTTTCGCAAGGCTTCGGGATTTGGCACTTCGGGGTTTCGGTAAGTTGGGATGTAGAACATTTGATGGGTTTCTGTCCGTCTTAAACCTACCCCTTCGAACCCTGCGCTGAAATGCTTGCATTTCTGTTGGATGTCGCTCTTGAGCTTGCTGAGAGTTGTTAATCGACCTCCTGTTGTTTTCTTCAGCCTGATGTCGTCGCTGCATCAAAATAGTGCCAACCCACAACAGCGCAAGAGCTCAGGAGCTTGTAGCTGACGATGCTTCAGCAAACACACGCTATCCTCTATGGCCGTCAACCAAACAAGGCTTCTCTTAAGATTAAGATCCAGCAACAAAATGCCAGGACAGGATTGCGTTTCAAAGGAAAGCCATCTAGTGACAGATCAGGACCCAAGATATGAATGTGGTCTGGGCTGCTGACGGAGCGGATGGAGCGGAATTTGCTGGTGATTTCGAGGCTGCCGAAGACTTCGGTGCGGACACCGAGGCTGCCAGTGCCTGCGGCAGTGTTTGGGCATCACAGGACTGCGCAAGCCACGGCTTGCAGCCAGCCCAGCCCACCTCCGGAGGTTCTTCATCGAGATCCACGTCCTCGTCATCCTCCTGTGGTCATCATCAGACAGAAACGGGCGAAATGGAGATTACAAAGCAACGGCCAGCTGGGCATGGCGCCTCGAAGTGGCGCCGCTCCCACCCCAGGTCCTCCCCAGCAGCATCACCGTAGTCAAGTTCCGAGCTCGGTTCGTGTAGAGTTTTTGAGATGGCCATGCACTAGTCAAGGCATAGCACAGCTCAGGAGAGAACCTCGTTGCCGAGATTCTGCTGAGTTTGTGGATGAGCTTGGAAGCTTCGCAGAACTGTAGTGCCCGCCCCCCAAAAAAAATTCGCCAACCAGCCCTTCCAGCAACCAGCAACGCGGTGCGACAGTTTGCACGAGCCTTGGAAGTATAACCAACGATGCTTTAGCCTGGGCCTAGAAAAGAGCACGAGCAGTGCCCTGGGTGAAAACACGATGCCTCGGCCCGACCCGCAGGCCTCGTCTTCACCCAAGCGCCTTTGCCCCGGCTCCTTCAGGGAGACTTGGACTTTGGAGGCTTCGGCTTCGCTTCGCAGACAAAAATCCCGAAACCCTGTCTCCAGGGCACCGGAGCTTCGGAAGCTCTTGAGCGCGCTGCTTGGGACAACTAGTGAGGAATGTAACCAAGGTCCGGGTCCATCTGGGTGAAGTGCTAAGGCTTGCACTTGCACTACGCGTCTGAAAAGCTTTGTTGCAGTAACAAGATCCAGATCATCGCATGTAGGCACACGGTTTAACCGATTCATATACGGCGTTGCTGGGTAGCTAGACTGGGCAACCCTGCAATTCGATGCCTCTGCCATGCGGAACCAGGAGGGTCCAAAGCCGCTCACCTCCCCCACCCGCAATCAGAAAAGCCGTGATGGGATTGACCTTTCATGGACTCACCTCTGTGGGTTTGGTTGGGATCATGATGATCGAAAGTCCGAGAGGGTCTCCGGAGGACAGCAGAGGTGATCAAGGCAAGAGGAACCCCACTTGAGGCTGTGCGCCTCCTGGTCGTCTTCCTCGTCCTCCTCCTCACCGTCCTCAGCCTCATCGATGTGGTTTGGATGCCTGAGCTGAGTTTGAAGTGCCTAGTTCTCGGTTGCTTCTTGGAAACGGAGGTTTGTCAGGTGTGCCGGACGATGCTTACGCTCTGCACGCCAGCGCTTGCCGGCTCCTTTTTCACAAACCCACCTTGCATCCCCGGATGCTGGCGAGGCCTCCGACCCCAGGCGATCCTGTGGTGTGGTACAGGTGTGGAAGGACCTGTCCATCAGGAACTTTGTCGGGCTCCAAGCTGGCACACCGGCCATCCCCACCACGGCCGGCCTGTCTCTTCACAGCCCCTGAGCCACGTGGAGCCAAACCGCCTGCGGGTGCACCGTGAAATAGCTGATGCTTCCTGGAGCTGAAGTTTTGGGGCACTGTTTGAACGGCACCAATGCAATGGAGATCTGCAGTGCAAGTAAGGAAGAAGTCTGGCTTCTGAAAGCATTGCCAGCCGTAGGGTCGGCCGGAGCTCAGGCCATCTTTGCCAGTGCAAGGGATTCGGGACCCGGACTTCAGACGGAATCCTGCGTCCCCATAGCTCGGCAGGGGCACCTTAGCTGGGAGCTCAAGGTTGGATCGTGAGCTCTGACCATCCAGGCCCGGCAAAGTGCACCCGCGGGAGACATTGAAAACCACTGCCTCACCTCTGCGGCCACCGGGTGAAAAAAGATACTCCGTGTGGAGCTTGCCCCCGCCGCTGCCACCTCCAGCCTCTGCAATGAGCTGCCAGGATTTGCTTTCTGTCGCCCTCTGCAAGAAACGAGAGCTGGATCCTTCCCCGCCGGCTTCAGAAGGCAAGCCGCCCCGTCCTCCCTTTCCGATCTCTATCCGATAGGCCCAACCTTCCTGCAGCTCCCAAACCTAAGTCGCTCTTGGGGATTCTTCAGCAGCGCAAAATGTCATTGAGGTGTCAATGACTCCTAGAATCTTAGAACCGTCTACATGCTCAACGAGACCTGGAACGAGGCTCAGCGCTGAAGCTGCGCCACCACCCCCTCCGCAGATCCATGCAGGTGCATCAGCAGAGCTTACATCCTGGCTCAAGGTGTGGGATTTACCGGTATCTGCCTCGCACACAAAACGCAAAGATACAATATCTAAGAACGACGCAGGGAGGGGGAAAACTTACCTCAGCATAAAGCCTGCCAATGATATCATGCATCAAACGATCCAGCACCTCCACCTCCTCCGCCCCACAATTCCAGGAAGATAGTCTCATTGACGTCGCTTGTCCACTCGAAAGACTCATGGATCTCAGGCGGAGCGCTTGTTTCCTGAACTTGTGTCAAGTCTCCAGCACATCGGATTGGCGCACCACTCCTGTCTCTAGCCTGGGGATGTGCAAGAGATGGCACGGAAAGACACCTCCTCTCCAAAGACATTTCCAGCAGAAGCTCCTTCGAAAGAAGCAGTGCATCAATATCCTCGGCCGCAACAGAACCGCTGGTCCCCATGTCCATATCGTCGGAGAAGCAGGCTTGCACATGGCAAACAGCAGGCGTCACGGGCACACATCGTTCGAAGTAGACTCCCCCCTGTTGGCACTGAAAGGTTGCCTTGGTCTGCTTTGGAGGCGGCTCCTCATAAGCGAGCTTTTCCAATTCAGTTTCGAGGCTCCCAGTTTTCGACTGCAGCCGCGCAATTCTCGCATCTCGGGCTTCGGTTGGTGCATCCATGTGGTCCAGGAGGGAGTCAACAGTCCAGACTCCGCAAACAAACAACACTGCAGCGAAAACGAAAAGGAGGCAGTACCGCCCGTGCTTGGACAAAGATCTTGCCTGTGCCTCCTCGTCTGTGTTGTACATGTTGAACCCATCCATCAAGTCCATCTCTCTCGACTGCTCCATTTCGACTAGCTCTGCAAGTAGTGATGATGCCGCGACGAAGAAGAAAAACACATGACACCGCATCACAAGTGTTGCGAGCTGCGGCAATCAACGATCCTTAACAACATCATGTGCTTGCCAACATGGACTTGAGCTTGATTCCTGATGAATCTTGGAACGCAGCTCGCAGTCGATCGGCCACGGAAGGTGTCAGCTAACAGAACGTCTCGACTCACCTCATGCCGAAAGCCCCGTGAACCCATGAATCTCTCCAGCCTCTGAAGACCTATGGGGTCTCTAAATCTGTTTGTGGGCAGATGGACTGTGGGCCAGGCACCAGGACGAAGAGATTAAGGAGGCCACCAGGGGTTCGGGAATCCAGCTTCTGTTTTGCTGGGTCGCTCTTCCAATTTTTGGGGTTGCCTTTAACCTCTGAAGACCCTGAGAGCCGGAACAAAACTAACCCGAGCACCCAAAAAAAGCAGCCCAAAACCCTGAACTCCACAGCCTTTCTGTGCTGTCAGGGAGCTGCCAGCTGCGGCTCGGGGGCCTGAGCAGTCTGCGTATGGGAGCTCAGCTCTCACAAATTAGGCCTGACCAGGGTTTCGGTGTTTGGGGGGTTTGAGGGTTTGATGTGTTGGGCTTAGGGCCTAGGGGGTCTCCGGAGGCGTTGAAGCCAAAGATCGGCCAATAACTCGCAAGAGCGGGAAAGCGTGGAAGAGGAATTCAACTCGACCCGTACTAGCACGACGCAGAGATCCTTAGGCGGTTTGGTGAAACGGGAGCCTTACTTAGCCTAGCTCATCAGCAGCCCTTTTTGAGTCGCCTACCCGCCTTTGGCGGCACTCACCAGGCTCACCCTGGTAAAATTACTACTGTGCTGCACCTCATTTGAGGTGCAAACCTGGTTTCAGCCTGCCTGTGCAGGCATCTACCTTGCTTGGCGGCTTTCGTCAGGTGAGCCCTGGTCCTACAATGCTGCTGTTCGTCTTTGGTCGGTTGTGATTCTGCGCCTCTTTCCTCCAGCCGAGTCTACTCCAAGATCCTTCCAGACATCCCGGATTTTTGGGTCTTCCGGCTGCAGGTGTTCCTGTAGGGTTTGTTCAACTTTGCTGACTTTGCTGTTGCTACAAACCCACGCACTTTTGGCCACACTCAAGGGCAATGTGGCTTCTTTGAGTGGTCGTCTGTTCCCCACAACACCTGACTAGGCTGTATCCTAGCCAAGGCTGGTAAGCACCAAACCCTGCTTTAAGGACTGGTAAGACCAAGTCCAAAGGGTTTGAGCCGAGACTTGAGCCAAGCTTCCACCTCACACCCCCTAACGACCGAAGCTATCTCTCCTGATCCTACTGTACCATCAGTCCACACAGCGCAGTCTGGTGACCGTGCGTGACTGTCGGGCTTCTTCCTTTTCGAATCTACGAGTATCTGGTCGAGGTGCCTGCATTCCAGGCGCGCGCGGCTGCCCGGCGAACGAAGACCTCGGAAGAAACAGCCCCAGATCTGCAAGCCTCAAGCCCCAGGACGGTTCACTGCTTCGCCCGCTTCGCTGCTCCAAGTTCGGATCCAAGATGCGCTGCCCGTCCGTCTGGTCTGCATCCACAAGCTTGACCTGCGCAACGTTGGGCTGCAAGATGTTGGGGTCGCGTTGCTGTGTCAGATTCCTTGTGTTGGCCTGTGTCGAGGCTTGCAGTAATGCTTCCGAGCCACGAATATGGCACCCAAGCTTCCGTTCTGTTCGTACCTTCTTACGAATAGCTGGAAGGTATTATTGGCGGCACAGACGTAACCTTGAGACTCTCGAGGAAAGGTTTTTAAGATCACATTGCTGCTTTGTTGTTGTGGTTCGACATCCTTGCAAATGCGTAGCCAAGGTGCACGAGGAACTGCACTCGTCGTCCCTCCGGATCGTCAGGCAAGTCGGCTTCGGTATGGTCGTGCGAAAACCACACCATTCCCGATGTTGGCAAGCCTCCCGACTGAGTCTGTGACAACGTAGAATCAAGGGACGATAACAGCCAATAGCCATCTGGGGCCGATACAATCGTGTCTGATGTCATCATCCGGCAGTAGCCTGAATGAAAATGTCCGCAGCTGAAAGTCCGTCTCAGGAACCCCATCTTAATATGTCCTAATCGCCCAGGGACCACCCTTCCTCAGTCTCGCCCGACCACTTGAAGATGACCCCTGTCCTGTCATGCGGAAACGACAGATTACTACGTGCTTCCGGAACATCATCATTCCATGGACAGTCTGCCCAGCAAACCCTCCCGGCGGTCCACATCTTGCACGCCGGGGGGGCAACCAGGTGCTTGCGAAATCGGCCGCTCGAGGACCTAGCCGACCACGCTGAATGCTCTCCAAGATCAGCCACTTCAAACCCCTCAGCTCTAGACCCCCCCAAAACCCGAAGCCGACAGTGCCTGCCCAGCTCCCGTTTCAGGTGGTCCCGCAGTTCTTCGTCCAGGCCCGGCCCCTTGGCCTCATCCGCCTGGTGCCCAAGTGGTTGCGGACGGAAGTTGAGGTTGAAGAGCTTAGGGTTCAGCGGTTCAGGGAACCGCGATGCTCCAAGAACAAAAGCAGTGTCAGGCGAACGAAAAGCAATGATCAGAAAGATGTCGCTGCTATGAGGAGGAGCAGGTTCACGAAGAGTCTCTCGTGACTGCCGTCTTGTGACAAGGGGCCTCCGAAAGACATTCACTGTTGGCGAGAAACTGATTCGTCTGAGGATGTGTATGGATCTAGGAGCCACCATTGTCCATGACATGGGAGCAGGGAAGGCAACCAGTCAAACTGCTGAGAGATCATGTTACCAGCAAAGCTGCTCCCCCGGCAGCATCAGGCGCATCCGACTTCCTGAGGCTGGAGGAGCAGTGGTGGGCTGAAGCTGCACGGGGGGTTACCGGTTTACAGTGTGGATTTCCAGCTGTGTGGAGTCTGTTCTCGAAGTTGCCTGAATGAACTGGAAGAGCAACTGACGGCCAAGACCCGTTCCGCAGCACGGCTGGGTGGAATTCAAGACTCCGCAACGAGCATGTTTTCCATGCACCCCGAAGCTGACCTGAAGCCCTAAGCCCCGCGAGGAGGTTGGTGCGGAGTCTACTCATGTCGCGGCAGGCCACCATGTAACCGGATTTAGGGGTTGTCGGGCCAGACTTTGCAACGTAGCGGTCTACAACCTCCACTGCCGTGTCAGCTTATTTTTTCTGGCACTCTTTTAAGCTGGACTGTGTGAAGGGACTTAATCAGGCAGAATGGCTACGACTTGCGGCCAGATGTGACAAGTAAGCTTCCGAACCGGCCCCAAAGGCATTTTCCTAAACGTGACACGAGAAATGCAGCCCTGCTCTCTGGAGCTTAGGCTCGCATCTTCCTCCACGTCCGCCTTGACTTCGTCCGACCTCGAACCAAAGGGGCCGAACAAATCTCCGAATCCACAGCCGAAAGAGAAAGCGCCGAACCTAAAAGCTATAAGAGCTATAAGACATCGGCAAATGCAGAGCAAGGCACTCGACGTCCGCAGGGAATACGTCAGCCCTGGGACAAGGATTCGTCTCTTTCCGGCATCTCAATAGGTCTAACTGAGCCGACCAACCTATATCGTCTATGCACTGCCAACGCACGCCAAACTGCGATGCCCGAAAGGCAGGCTCTACAGAAAAACATTGTATGCGCAGACATACTGCACTCTTCTCCTTCTGCTTTGGTTGCCTGTTCGGATTTTGGCATAGCTAGTGTGTTTTGCGTTGAGTTGCCCTCTCGGGTGCAGAAAAGCAGGTGCTCATGCAGACAGATGTCTGTTTGCATCAGTCGCAGCTGGATTCCAGAGCATGTGTGTCCCATCATACCCTAAGCACTGTGAGAATATCCTAAGTTATTTCGCCGTATGGCTTGATGTGGCACCGTACCATATGATAGACTAGCATGCATTGCCACGAAATTCACCCATGCAAATGATCATCATTCATCATAGACAAAGCACGATCGACATGAAATTTAAGAGACTAATCAGCAGCAACTGCAACAAAGCGGATACAGCAGCATGAACTCTATCGAGACTCTGCTCGTTGGCCTCCTTAAATGCAAACCCACAACCTTGACGAAACGGTGATTGAGGAAACTCGCCGATGCCACCCATCCGCAACGCAGGCACGCTCCGCTGCAAGCATCCTTGAAAGAGTGTTTTAAGGCTAAACTAAACCCCCCTCAACCTCAACACTAGACTGCAACACTCCTAAACCCCCCCTTAAACCTCAACCCTTAGATCCAAACCCCAGAGTGGGCGAGTCTTGACTTTAAAGCTTCAAGGTCTTCTCAACCGTGCTCACTGCTCGGGCCCATTCCAAGATTCAGCTTTAACGCTAGGAGCATCTCAAGCCTAAGAGCTCGACGTGGATTGGGTTTGAGGGAAAGGACCCTTCGGAAGAAGAGTTTTTCAGCTTCGTTGAAGTAGCCGGCAGCCCCTACCGGAGAAGGGCTCCAGAACATAATGATGTCAATTGCAGGATGGACCAACTGCTGATCCATCAGATTAGTCACCTAGGCTTCAATTTCTCAACGACGCTTGATTCATGTTGCCGTTTACATGCATGGCTACCGAATTTGGGCTGAAGCTGGCCAGTGGACACAGCAGATCATCGACCGACGACACTTCCCAGATTGCCTGAACCGCCGAAAACATCTTAGTGCTGCTGCACATTCACGGCAAGATTCTTTGCAGTCTCGGGAAGCTCATGCGTACCGGTGGCGGGGGTCCTGCATCGGGAAGTTTGGCCAATTCCCAATCGTGCACATTGTGTTTGATGCTGCTCGTTGCCGCCTATGTAATTTCACTGGAGTCTCTAAAGCCTCTTGAGCTCTCGGTTGGGATACTGGTTTTCCGGCTTCGTGCTTGAAACTTAATCTTGCCTCCTATTTCTGACTTTGCTGTCGCCTACTGTGCTTCCCCGGCTTCTGCTGTGTCTGCTGCTCTTTAGGGTTTGCCAGGAGTAGCTTCGCTCTATGTTTGCTTGGGGAAGGGAAGGTGATCGGATTGGAAAGGCAGGCAATTGCAATCTTCATCCCTGAAGCCCGACTCTTCGGAAGAACTGGTCTAAACTAAAACCGGCAATGCTTGGGCTTGTGGTGTACAATGGATGATATATCCCCGCTAACTTCAAGCCCCCGAACCCCACCGTTCCGTACACGCATAAGACTGCAGAACAGAGATCAACGCACAACCAACGTGTTGTTATGATAACATCCGGGTGGGCACTATGCATCCCAGATCCAAATCCACCAATGCAGCTCATGCTCGTGTTGAAGTGTAGGTGCTTGTGCCACTCTGTCAGATTGTCGCACTCTGTCCAGACCCTCCATGCTCCTGGTGTGGCCGTTCGCACTTCTGCTTAGCACGCGCGGCGGGACAGTTTGCGGCTTTCGCCGCAAAGGTGCTCGCCCGTCCTCCACATTGCGATGAAAAACCTGAAGCACCGCAATACCGCAATACAATGCCGAAGTCCGAATGTGAAACCGTCAGGTAGATGCTCTTAACTCTCAACGAATTCGGGGGTTGAGGCCGAGTTCCCAGTCGCAACTGCAAACACCTCTCAGCAGCACACTCTGCGAGGTGGAACTGTTGCATGAACGCTGTTCGATGTTGCATTCGAAGGCTGGCACATGGCAGCTGACATCGGATCATCAAGCAAGAGTACAACTTTTGAAGATCTTGCCGCCGAGGGTTGCAGCACCGGGGCAAAAAGCAGATCTCTGGCTCCTCTCGGCTCCGGCTTCTGCTTCGCGCCCTCGCCACTGCCCCACCGAGCGCGCCACAGCGAAGGCAGTCATCCTCCTGAACAGGGCAACTTAAGACTGTGCTTAGCAAGGCTTGTTCATGATGACTGACGATGGTTGCTGGAAGGTGTTGATGAGAACAGATCACGACAGCAGCACTGCCAGTCAACGTAAGAGCTGGTGCGAGATACAAACTACAATCACGAGGGTCATCTGCATCACCACCACAGTTCCCCGTCATCATGAGCAGCAATAGCAGCAGCAGCGGCAGCACCAAGAGCGGCATGCTCATCATCAGCATCATCGGGCTGGAATGACGGAAAAGACGGCACAGATCTGCGTCCAGATTTTGTAAACGTGAAGATGGCAGGTGACTGACATAGACCTCAAGCCACCAATCCTGGGCCCTGGAACCTAAGCTTGGCCAGGCCGCGTACCGTCTCGGGTGCGTACTTACGCTTTAAGTTTACGATATGGTTGGGAAAGCAGCCAGCCCCAAACCCTAAACTCCAAATTCTTTGCAAGGCATTCCGTCCGGATCAATCATCAAGGTGAAGGTGACGCGCGTGCCGATGGGAGGCGAAGAGCGAATCTGCAGGTCCTCCACACTGTGAACTTTGGCTGCTTTTAGTGCTTGTTGGTTATAGGGCTTGGGGAGTCTAGGGTGGATAATACGGCTGTGGGATATCGGTGTTTAGAGGTTTAGGATCTACTAAGGCTGGAAGGTCGAGGGCAACAGACTTCGGTGCATTCAACATCAGGGTGCAGTCCGCCGCGCCAAAGAACGCCTTCTCTTGCTCGAGATACGGCTGCTCCAGAGTGACACACCTGGCAACTGGATAAAAAAATCACAGACCCAGCTGCGGCAAAACAAAACAGCAAACTGTTGTCATGAACAAGATCGTAAAACCCATAGAATCGTCGTCGTAGAACCCATCACGAGCAATTAGATGTCTAGGACAGGTACCGCACAGACTCCACCAGCAGCTGAAAAGTGTGCGAGTCTGTGCATGTCGGGGTGCGTGCGTGCCCGCATGCCCGAGTGAGTGTGGAGTGAGTGGAGTGAGTGGAGTGGAGTGAGTGGGGTGAGTGCGGTGAGTGGGGTGAGTGAGTGAATGGAGGGGAGGGGGAAAGCAGGGGAGGGGGAAAGCAGGGGAGGGAGGGGAGGGGAGGGGCTGTTTTGCGTGCCTGCATGCGTGCGTGCATGCGTGTTTGTTCGGGTGTGCTGGATGTGCGTGGGTGTGCATGCCTACAACAGTTGAGCAATACCGGAGCCATGCCTTGGCAAAGGCATCAAGAGCGGCACTTCTGCTTAGTCTGACGGAAATCTCTGCTGCGGGCTTCCTTTTGGACAACATCCTTCCAGGACCACCAAGGTCCCATGTCAAACCATGATCAACCACGCTCGGTATAAACTGCGCCGTAATTAACTCAGAAAGCTAGACTCCTAACCCAAGACGGTGTGCAAAACAAAACGCTGCAGGCTGCCCGGAGCGATCGTCGTTGATCTCATCGATGCAGCCATTGTGGCGCTGCGCTTCCTTCTGGATCGAACTGATGTTTCGCTCTACTCTGTGGGTGTCGACAACTAACTGTTTGCAGGATCGAGACAGCTGACCAACTCGGAGGTAGCAATACTCCGAGGATCTCAGACAGGCAGTCGAAATCATGCACGCGACACACAGACACCCACCATCCTGACAGCCCGAACCTAGTCCATCGCCAAAAGAGCTGTGCTTGAGTCTGCGGACCTTCGAGCCTTGAACTGCGACCCTTCTAGACGGAAACCGTCAAGGCTAGCTGAATGTGCCCTAACCCCATCCCTTTCTGCCCACATGTGGCTCCTACTACTAGTTACTAGCCCAAACAAACATGCGAAGTGGTCAACAACAAACTGATGGGAGGCCTCTTTGACGGTCCGATGTGGCAGCGGTCTTGGCAGTGGCATCGCAGCAGCCGGTCAGGCCATGAATGCCAAAATAGGGGAAAACTCAAGGCTGAGTGCTTCAAAGACTTTCGCCCCGGGCATCTTGCACACCAGAGCCTCGATGGTCAGATTTGTAAACCTGCCATGCAAGTTCATGTAAGTGTTAGACAGATAGCGATTGCTCGGGCGTCCTTGTGGACCACCACCCCTGCCCTCTCGCAAAAGCGAAGTCACTACCGAAGCCATGATATGGATTTGTTGCTTCACACGACGCTTCTTCGTGCTTCGAGCCAGGGCGATGGCACGCGAGGCTTCAACGTTCAGTTATGTTATGGAGATGCGGCGCTGAAGGTTGACGGCTTTCCGAAAGTTCAAATTCCGGTTTTCGAGGGCATAAAGATAGTCTACTGATACAGGACGGCCAGACCACTTTGCCGGCAAAGTCACTGCCGACGAGCCTTCAGCAGTCGCGCCAGCCAGGGTATGTACCGTAACGGCTGTAGCCAAGCCAAGGGCACCTGGACAGCCGAGTTCCCTCAAGTTGCTCGGGAGCTTCTCAGCTCAGGCTCAGCCTTAGGCCCTGGGCCTAGCCCTGTCTTGACGAGAGCTGTCTTAGGAGCACGGGCCTGGTCATTATGCTGACCTTGTCACCGTCATGGCTCGGGCAAACGCTTATCTGAGATCCTGAGGCTTCTGCCTTTAGCACACGAACGGCATTTCCCCAAGCATCGAAGTATCGTCAGGAGAAGAAAGTGGGCAGAAAATGTGGCTCCGGCGCAGGCAACATCCGAGAAGACGGCATGAAATTCTGGCTAGAAGTCACGCGAGAAGCGGTGCTAAAAGCAGTAAACCCCTGAGTACATCAGCACCAGAGCCTCCAAATCACGCTTCAACTATGACCGTCTGTCTTCACCGGGGGCCCAAGCGTTGAGTGGCCCGGAGAGAGGCAGAAAAGGTGGCTCAGGCTCCTCGAGTCTTGGCATAGGATTTGGGCTGAGAAGGAAGCATCTTCTGTTTCGGCAGACACCTGAAACATCTTGAAACCCCAAGAACTCTTCGAGATTGATCTTTAAGGCTTTTTGCATAAACTCATGAAATCTTTGCAAAGAAAGCTCGACCACCAGATGCCCCATGATCTGATACAGATCGAACTTCCCAGTGATCTTAAGCAACGAGCATGGCTGGCCTGACCACGTTTGCGTGGAGGTGCCTGCCTGAGCAGAGGAGCAGGAGGGAGACCCTTAACCAAAGGGGCAGCAAGAGCGAGCATCATGTGCTAGATTTTCAACCAACAGAGCACCTGCAGCCAGCATCAGAACGAAACTCTTCACCAACGCGGCAGCAGGAACAAGAATCATGAGCATCAGAACGGAGTCTTGACCAACAGAAGACCCAATCGGAGAGCATCAGAAGAGAAACTTTTCACCAACAGTGCACCAAGAGCGAGCATCATGAGCGTCAGAAGAGAAACTTTTGACCAGCGCGACGGCAGGAGCGAGCATCATCAGGATCCTCAGGGAAACTTTTGCTCAACGCGGCAGCGGGAGCAAGCATCATGAGCAGCGAAAGGAAACTTGTGACCAACACGGGAGCGGGAGTGCGCGTCATGAGCATCGGAAGGCTATTTCCGGACTAGCCTTACAGCAGGGGCGAGCATGATGAGCATCACAAGGGAATTCGGCAGCGGGGGCGAGCATCATGAGCATCAAACGGGAATCTCTGGACCAACGCGGCAGCACGAGCGAGCATCATGAGCACCAGCAAGCTTCGCAAAGAAGACCTGACCAACGGAGCCGCTAGACACAAATCAAACTGTTGACCGACGCGGCAGTAGGTTCTGAAGCGAGCCCGATGACCACCATAAGAGCAATTGCATCATGGGCATAAGAAGGGAAGCTTGTGACCATCGAAAAACCAATAGAGAGCATCACGAGCATCAGAAGAGAGGCTTTTGACCAACAACAGGCCAATGCAGGGCATCATGAGCATCAGAAGGGAGGCTTTTGACCAACATAAGGCCCATAAAGAGCATCATGAACATCAGCAGGAAGGCTGTTTCGACTAACATCAAATCAATAGCGAGCATCATGAGCTTCAGAAGGGAAATGTCTGAGCAACAGAAAACCGATACATAGCACCGTGAGCATCAGAAGGAATGCTTTTGACCAACAAAACGACCAGTACAAAGCATCATGAGCATCAGAAGGAAGGCTTTTGACCAACAAAAATCCAACAGAGAGCACCATGAGCATCAGAAGAGAAACGTGTGAGCAACAAAAAGGCACTAGAGAGCATCATGAACATCAGAAAGGAAGCTTTTGACCAACAAAAGACCAATAGAGAGCATCATGAGCAGCAGAAGGGAGGTTTGTTGACCAACAGAAGACCAATCATGAGCATCAGAATGACGCCACAAATAGGGAGGCTTTTGACTAACGAAACACCATCATGAGCATCAGAAGTGAGGCTGTTGACCAAGAAAGACAGGTAAAGAGCATCATCAGCAACAGAAAAGAGACTTCCGAGCAACAACAAACCAATACCGATAAGACGGAAGGCTCTGGAGCAACAAAAAGCCGGTAGACAGCATCATGAGCAAGGCTTTTCAGCAACAAAAACCTGAAACAGAGCATCATGGGCATCAGGAAGCAACAACAAACCAATAGAGAGCATCATCGGAATCGGAAGGGAGGCTCTTGCCCGTTAAAAAAGGCCGATACAGAGCATCATGAGCATCAGAAGGGAGACTTTTGACCTTCGAACGAGCAACAGGAAGCATCATGAGCATCAGAATGGAAGCTTTTGAGCAACAAAAAGACCAGTACAGAGCATCATGAGCATCAGACGGGAAACCTTCGAGCAACAACAAACCAATAGACGGCAACATCAGCCTTTGAGCATGAAACCACCAATACAGAGCATCATGGGCATCCTCAGGCAACAAACAACAGACCAATAGACAGCATCATGAGCATCAGTCGGGAGGCTTTTGAGCAAGCTGTGCCTTGTCTATTCAGGGCCAGGTCTTGTGGTTGGCCTCAAGGAACTGTAGCAAAGACCACTAAGATGCCCTAAACTTCTAGCATTCATTCCCGAGACCTGCGACACAGCCCTCGGCCTAAACCCGAAACCCTACATGAGCCTACTCTGCGTCCTCCCAAACTCCTCACGCGAACCGCCTTACTAAGACCATGCTGGCCAACTCAGCGCTTGCCTGATCTGGAATTCGCCACACCATGCCCGACCAAACCTCCCAGTAGCAGCTGCAGAAATCACACCGGCATGGGGCTACATCTTGCTAGCAACTTAACCTTTCACATGACCCCGGCCCGAGTGATCTGACTGCACAACTGTTCAGGCTTTGTTGCAGATCATACTACCAGGCTGGCCCGAGCCGAACGAAGAGCTGCGAGTCCGGCCGCAGCAGCCGCGACATGGCCTGCCACGTAAGGGTTAAGGGCTGTTTTCTCATGGCAGACGGCAGATGCATCATGCTTGCCATCGAAAAGCTGCTCACCTCCATGCGAAAGCGACTACTCTCAAGGTTTGTGCAGCTGGCCACTTCGCATAGCCGTAGGTGCAAAGCAACAAAACGCTCTGGATCGGACACTCGTCATCTCTCCACGCTGGAGCTCACGCCGAAGGAAGTCCTGTCAAAGCAGAGCACGACAATGCGTTTGACTCCGACAACTTAGGAGTTGGCATTGAGCTCAGTGTAGAAAGAGACCTATAATACTTTTTGACACAATGCTCTGGGTTTTTTTCGAGTCAGGGATTGGGCTAGGGCTTTTTTCGAGGTTGTCTTGCAAAGAGGAGAGATGGGGAGCACGAGCAAAGGACAGCATAAAGCCGAAGAGAAGGATCCACCAGAGGCCTCGCCAAGCAAAAGAAAACCGGATTTGGAGCCTTCGAAGAGCCTGCACTTTGCTTCTTGGAGCTTTCCAAGCCAAAAAATGTGTGGCAGTCTTCAAGTGGCTAACCTGGAGGATTCGTGCCACTCAAAGCTCGCCATTGACCGACAAATCCTCGAAGGCTTGGCAAAAGTGCACATGGAGCGAGACAAGGACCGGTAGTCTGCGTGCGTGCTATCGTGGTTTTGGTTCCGGGTTTTCGGGAGGGATGGACGGGTGTCTCAAAACCAGCCCCAAACTCCCATACCCCCTGTCACAGCCAGGATCATAACACGCACCACATCGCAGAGCGCGAGCGCCGTAAGCATCAGACACTTCGAGCGATTTGTACTCTCCAGCACTGATTCTCTGTTCATGTCCCCGGATGGGATTTGCATGAAACATTACAACACAGTGTCTTCTGTTACACTCTAAGAGTTCTGATTTCAACATTTTTCTTGGCTTGGCTAACAATGTTTTTCTGGCTAGGCTTGGCATAAGGGTTCGGGGCATGAGGTTACACTGAAGACCCTGAGAAGCCGAAAAGTCTGGCCCAATCAGAACTTTAGATGCTTTGAGCGTTTCGAAAGTGAAACTGGCGCCAAAGTGTTGGGTTTCACAATTGATTCAGCGTCCCGTGCCCACAGCGCCGGTGCAGGACTGTGGCGGTACGATTTTGGCTGGAAATCTGCACCACCTCGCAGCGGAAGCCGCGCAACCTCCTCACATGCGCTCCATGCCATGACACGCCATGACCATCCTAATCCATCCCTTTATATACCTAAGGCAAGCCTCTGAACATTCTGACGGCCCAGCGAGCTCACACCGTCGTCCATCATGGCTCGGACTAGCACGTGTTGCCACATTGCGTGGAAAGAGAATTCTTCACGCGAGCTTGGTTTCAGAACCGCGGAACTCAAATCCCAAAGCCCTATCGCCTATCGTTGTCCTGCCTTGCCAACCACGTCGTCCATGGAAAGGCCAGGCCTACATCAGCAAGGGCTTGAGGGTATATGGCTACTCGAAAGGCCCGCAGAACTCTCACGTGCGGGACGCTGGGCTTCAGAAGGAACGGCTTGGCTTGTGGAGTTGCATCTGGCCGGGTCCTGCGAACTATCGAAAGTAAGAAGCGGAAAACTGCATGACGCTTGGCAATTGCACGGCAAACAACCGCGGCCTCATAGCATCTGTTGCTGCATGCGATGAAGCCGATAAAGCGTTCTGAGATCCCTCGGACATGAAGGGAACCTCAGAACGGCGACACCCCGACGGCGGAGTGCACTTCCCTCATGTTCTGGTGCCTGGCATGTCAGCATGGCATAGGGACATCCTGGGATCCCAGAAAATCGAAATCCTGCAACGCTCTCCTGAAGCCCTTTGAGAAAGCTGCTTTTGTCATGTGATTACGCTAAAATACTACGACCAAATTGCTCAGGAAACTCATTGCCCGTGACTATAATGATTGATGGAGCCGGCGATGATGACTATGACGAGTACGGTGATACTTGTGATTATGAGGATGGCGACGATGGTGGCGAGGAGAATTGCTACCAATAGAGTGCGTAGTGTCAGTTGCACTACTGGTAGTTGAAGCAGTAGAAGAAGCACAGCAGTAGCAGTAGCAGGAAGCAGCCGTCGTCGTACTAGTAGTAGCGTCGCAACAGCAGCAACAGCAGCACGAATATGTAGCAACAACAGTAGTAGTAGAAGCAGTGGCAGTAGCGGTAGTAGCGGTAGTAGCGCTAGTAGCAGTAGATGCGGAAGTAGCAGCAGTAGCAATAGCAGTAGGCAGTAGTAGCACTTGTAGTAGTAGTAGTAGTAGTAGTAGCAGTAATAGTAGTGGTAGTAGTGGTAGTAGCAGTCATAGCAGTAGAGGTAGCAGTAGTAGTAGTAGTAGCAGCAGCAGGCGTAGT